TCACTAGATGCCTCAGTAGACCCTTCGCTGGAAGCTTCTGTGGAGGCTTCACTAGATGCCTCAGTAGACCCTTCGCTGGAAGCTACTGTCGAGGCTTCACTAGATGCCTCAGTAGACCCTTCACTAGAAGCTCCTGTGGCAGCTTCACTAGTTGCTCCTGTTGAAGACGCCGTGGAGGATTGTTCCAACATTTCGGTAGAGGATTCAGTAGTTTGCTCGGACGGGGGAACACTTGTTGTTTCTTCGGAAAGAGCTTCCGTGGAGCTGCCGCTAGACACCTCACTTGAAGATTCTACAGTTGATAATTCACTTGAAGTATGGGTAGTTGATGATTCTTGTGGTGGAACGTCACTAGAGCTCTCCGTGGACGTATTTTCCATCGAAGCAAATAAGAAGAGGCTGGTCATTTTCGAAGGTTCGGTGCTCGATGCAGTCGCAGTGTCGGCTGCGCCCTCTGAAGAAGCCTCAACTGTGGTTGTGCTTTCAGTAGAACCAGTCACTTCACTTACTGCTTCGAGATCTGGAATCGTTGTAGTAGACACTGATTTAACGTCATCGGAAGGAATGGGAGTGGTACCTGTTTCGTCCTCTTCGTCTTCGCACATATAGTTACAGCAAATGTCCTTTGTTGGTGGCAATAATGTACAACCGTCCTCAACACATTCTTCTACAGCACAGACAAGTTCCTCGAAGAGGCATGTGCAACTCTTACAAGGGTCATCCTGAGGTACCGTTGTGTTGTGCGAATACGTTTTGCCGTCGATGACGCAATCTGCGAGAACAAATAAAATCCAATTTGAAAACATGTATTACGTATATAATTATAGGACATTTATCAAGCTGACCAACAAGCATACAAACATTATGATAGAAAACGTATCTGCCCAGTAACAAAGGGTCTATAGCTTTATTCCCTATCCATTTTGTCCGATCATGTTTTCTTATCGGTAGTAAAAAGTGTCTGTGTATGTAGTGAGTCACTATACAATTGCTATACAAGCTTGTCGGTACTTCATATTTCACGGTCGACTATTATAGCAATTTACCATTGAGACTGGGAGCCGGCGTCGTTTTGTCTTGAGGGCAGTCGTAGTAGGGGCAGCACTGGCTATCTTCCTTGACCACCTTACAATTCGAAACGTCCTCTTGAGGCTCATGGCAGGAGATGTGATCACACTGAATTACACCTTCGGCTCCACATGTGCAGTTGGCTAAGCACGGGTCTTTCATCCGAATAGTCTCACTTATTTTGTACACCACGCCGTCGACATCACACCTGGAAGAACTGAGAAACTGTGTTATTGCACTATGTTCAAACGATTTTCTATCCGCCAAATTATGTGCTACACAGAGGAACTTACTCATCGGCTCTTCCTTGCTCCTCTCGGGACCCGCCATCGGAGATCCGTGTGGTTTCCTCAGCTGACGCCGTTGTTGCTTCCGAGAAAAATACAGGTTGTTCCGTTTCAGCAGTAATAGCTTGAGACCCTAGGTCAGTAGAGGAAGTTTCGGTTGCGAGTTCAGGTGAACTAGATGCTGACTTCGGCGTGGTGGTAGTGTCTTCCATTTCTACGGCTGTGGCCTCCTCAAGAGGCACAATTGTAGTCGTCGTAGGGCCTGCTCAGAAAAAGCATAGTATGATGAATAACGGTTTCTGTAGTATGATTATTTAGCAGAATGATAAGTGCATGTTGCTGTAATGACGAGGGTATATATGATAATGATTTCCTAAAGGAGATGATAATTCGATAACTGAGTTACAATGATGTGCTTACAATCAAATTTGGTGGGACAGCATTCTCCTTCTTGAAGTTCTCCAGCGGTGCATCCTGGGGGTGTCTGACACTCCTGGCTCTGACAGATAACAGTATTATTTGGCATGCAATAACAGTTCTGGCACTTGTCGACACTGGGCACTGAGTCACCAGTGACGAACATCATTCCCTCATGCTCACAGCCTCCAGGAGCGACAGTTGTTAAAGTTTCTTGGTCCGCCATAGCAGCTGTAAATTTAAATTAAATAAAAAATAGATTGATATAAAAAATTACACTAAAACAAATGTTTCGGTGCATCTCTATTTTTTATACTGAACTAGGAATAATATTTGGCCTAAAAGCTGGGAACTTGCTCATAAATTATTTGTCTTAGAGTCTCGTAAAATATGGGCCGAAAAATGCGGTCAACAGTTATCGTAAAAGGCCTATTGAATCTCTATGCAGTCATCGTAAACTTCATGTGTTTATATAAAAGTGCATCCACTTATTTGTTCGGATTAAACATTTTCTAAAAAATCTACCATAACTTCTCTTTTCCTGAATATATTCAGAAACAAGATAGTCTTTTTAAAGTATTTATTAATCTATGAGTGACTAATTTATTCGGTGTGTAGGCTTACAGCAATCGTATCTCGAAGGACAACATGTTGGTTTGCGTTTATTAAAAACTGGCGAGCAGCCCTCAATATGTAGCACGCAGTCTTGAAGGACACAAGCAGAACTGTTCCTCACACAGTAGCATGTCTCACAAGGATTTGTGGGGTCCGCAGGCAGCCTTTGGCCGTCAGTGTAGAACTTGTCGTTGATAAAGCAACCTATGTAAAAGCAGTATGGAATATAATTATGTTTCGTGCTAATTTAGGCTAAAGGAAACTCTAACTCAATTTATACTTCGCTAACTTGTTGAAACAAACGTGCTGAGCAACGGAAAATTAAACTTAACATTTGACTTATTGCCTTCTTTATGACCACGTCTTTATCGTATCAAATTAAATCTTAAGTTTAGATTATCCGCAAATAGCTAAGTTACCTGCCATATACAAAAATGTGTTTGTACACGATCTAGTTACTTTACAGACAGGATCTGGTGTTACGGTAAACTAGGATACATTTTCTACGATAAAAAAATGGAATAATTGCAAATCAGGAGGCAATATTTATATTTAAAAAATCACAATTAACGTTTGTTATTGTTGAACTCTCTCAAAAAAAAAAGGACCCCTTATGAGGATCCTCCTGTATATGGTTACTAACATACCCAAGTAATTCAGATCATTCTATATAACTATTCTGATACGGAGTTCAAATGATTACTTATTAATGAAGTAATAGTAATAACATTAATAAATTATTAGAATGTTAAAATGTCGTTTAACAACAACTGTCCCCAGGCTTACGTAGAGCATGCAAATAGCAATCATAATTGTATGTAAAAATGCAAACCTCACAGTTCGCACTGAGATCGCTATACTAAAGTAAAAATAGTGAAGTTTTATGTCAATGATTAGATGTATTTATGAGATAAAAGGTTCCATCAGCGCTATGCGACACGTATATACATATACATGTTTCAAATAAGTCTCTAGATCTTGGCTAGAGCATGAATTGGCAACAAATCTCTATTCCCACAATGCACAATACGACGTAGTACTGATATCGCATTAGTTCACGCTAATAGTAACTCCACTGCCTATATTAAAAAAACACATGCTTGTCTTAAACGAAGATTATATACTTTTCAGGCTTATTCAACTTCAGCTGAAGAATCGCATATTCACAAAATATTAAGAACGAAACTATATCTTTACAAAAATAGAGTGGCTTTCTTGGTCTAAACTGGTCTATTGAAACGCACGAAGCCTTTGCGCAGCACTAGGTAGCGTTGTTCAAGCATATTCCGATTAAATTGCGGCGAAGCCATCGGATTCTAAATGATTATTCTACCATGACGTTCAATGATGGCCAACAATACAGATTTGTTTTATTTCGTACATTTTAGTTCTTTACTAAATTCGAATTACGTTTCTGAAAATTACTTAGTAGACTAATATATATACATATATATATATATATATATAATTTCCTTATTTATATTTACAATACCACGAATACACCTCTCAGAATGCGACAAAGTAATATTTCATCTTCCTCTTTTTATTACTCTTCTTTTATAAAGGTCAAAGTAATATACAGATATTTGATAGTGAATTTCAAAATTGAACCTGATTTTAGCGATCGATGGTTTGGGGTTAAATAAATTGAATGACGTCATCCAGCTAAACAGGATTTTTATCATCTCGACTCATTTCGATTCTCTTTACTTTTTCGCTCTCGTTCTATGCTATCATTCTTGTTATGATAATTACCATTTTCAAAAAAAAAAAACAGAACTAGCTCGAACCTCTAGCTTGTATTTTGTCATAAATATTCCAGTCGCTGCTTTTACTATTATAGCACAGGAACGTGGAAGAAAGTGCAATACAGCAATAGTAGTTAATAACAAGTGCGTGATGTTCAGGGTCGAATGAGCGGGAAGTGACGAAAAATCCTGTACTGTATCCCTTTGAATCAATTCAGATAAAACGGAAGGATGATGTTTAACACTAAACCTACCATCAACGATTAATTTGACTACTTGCAAAACGTTTTTGAAAGTTCCCAGTTCAAATGTCATCCCGTCGTATCAAACTATACGCCATCGAAAATCTAGGCTTAATTACATTAAAATAATAATCTTTTTAAATATTTTGATCACGTACGGTTGAGTAAGGCAGACAAGAAATACCAGTAAGGTTAGCTAAATATAAATGAAAGAATTATTAAATGCTCTTTAATATGATTTGAGCATTATAATTTTTATAAGAAACACTTTTAGACACAACGTTGATGTAACTAGAATATAGGCGACACCTAGACTTGACGATATCAAAATTAAATACTATCTATAAAGCGCAAAAGTATTCTAGTGAACTAAATATACTTTTTGCAGTCCGATTTGCAGCCATTCATTAAAACCGCTCTCGAACTCTATGGAAACTACTAGCTAATATTACTACAGCAGGTTCGCTAATAATATCTTTATTGAAATTTGGACAAGCTACCAAAACGGGGTTTACCTAGTAGATCAGATTAATCTACCTAAGTCCGTCGTCCTAGAACAAGTCCTGTTGTTGCGTACGTGTTTCACGACTGCATCGAAATTTTTTTCATAAAAAAAGTGCGCCACCATATCCGGCCAGTCCTTTCGAAAAATAATAGAAGATATAGTCCGCCTCTCGTATAAGTTTACAGTGTGGTCAGTGAATCTTCCACTGTTCGTGTCTCCATATGGCATCTCAGTAATACAATATTTTCGCAGTTGATGTTTTAAGCTGTTAGTCCTACTACAATGACTGACTGAAACTACGTTTCCATACCTGCTTCCTAAAACCTTGTCCATGAGCAAGAAAGCTAGGTGCCGAGCGCGCAAAAAGCGTCTTCTGTTTAGTGAAGCGTTGCAGCGACGGTGGTACTTCTTATATATTATTTTCGATGCTTTTATCACTGTTCTTAGTTAGGTCTTCTTATACAGATCTAGCGACGTACGTAGGTTGCCGCCAGCTATGATTTAAATTTTTGATAGTGTGGTAAACCACGGCGATTTTTTACAAGTCTGCAATACGGAGAAAAGCACCTTCTCCGCTTATTGTCGAAGGGAAAAGCTTTACGACTCCACAATACACGGTGTGACGGTAAACAGCACTAATAGTACTGCATACACCGGGTGCTATCCCACACTGTCAATATTGGTGTCGCATAAATTAACAGTAATAAATAAGTTAGTTACTAGGAGGTTGGTTAAAAAGTAAATTTCGGAGAAACGGCGAAGACGAACGCAATGTACAGCAGTCTCCAGAGCAGAAACGCTTAGAGCTCGATCGTAGAGAAAGGGGCAGTGAACTGCTACTACTACCACTACTATACTACTACAACTAGAGGAAAGCGGCCACAGGATGCGAGACGAAGGCCAGCAGAACAAAACTGTGAATTCGTCGAACACTCTAAATCACAATGTTGCATATTATACACACTACCAAACATACACAGAACTAAACAGCAGAATGAGCAATAACAGCAATAACAACAACGATACACCATACGAAGAAGAGCACATTGAAAGGATCCAACAATAATAATAAAAGCAGACAACCAAACAGAAATGAACAACTCACGGATGGTCCATCAAAGCAGTTCAAAAAGTTTCAGTCCCGGTGCTAAGCTAATCACAATGAAGCGACGCGTATCTACACGGCGCTGCCACGCACGGCATGATTGCAATAAAAAGGCAAGTGGTAAATACCAGCAATGTATCCAGTTGCATCAGTACCTTGTTGGAGTCGCTTAACGCTAAATCGACCAAACCGTTTGTTTTAGTGCTGCTATTCAAGCTAGCAAAGCCTTTACAATTTACGAAGCAACTACCATTAGACAGAAACAGATACAATTCTGGCTTTGATGAGCTATATGATATAGTAATTTGTATTGTGTTGTTTATTGATCTCATTTTGGAACTGCATACGCTCCAAGGGGTAAAAAAAGCTAAAAAACAGTTACGAGAAGTCTTTCGTGTGTTCCATTATCTAGTAAAAATAGCCATAGTTACATGCTAGATAGTTCCGTGACTTAAGCAGAAGAGGATGGACCGAATGCGCTAGACCTTAGTGAGGGTTAAGAGGAACATAAATTTCGGAAACGCGGTGTAATCGAAGGCAAGACCGTATGTCACGCTCAATTCATTCATAGGAGGTTGCGTGGCTGCCTGCTGTTGTTCTATTTGTATATTTGTTTTGAGAAACGGCAATCAAAGACTGCTGCGAAGTGTACATCGTTATCATTAGCTAAGTTAATCCAATAATTTAATTAAATAGTTCTCCAGTGATAAGATGTCAACGAGCCGCCATTTGCTGTTGATGAGAGTAAAAACAATGAAGCATATTGTAGAAATGAAAATATCCGCAAGTTGTCTGGAGCAGCATCTCAGTCAATTGATAATTCAAGAAACGTTGTACACCGGGGCAGTCGCCTATTTTTATAAGTCTGAAATTATATATGAACGTGAAATCTTCGGTCATTTAAAAATATTATCTAAAAACGATACATTTTCTTGAGATAGTAGTTCCGAACTCGACTTCTCAATGCATCCAAACGCGGTTATTTCATAAAATGTATTGTTTTTGGGATCTTTCGCTGTTCTTAATTTTAGGTGAGTTGAAAACAGGCTCGAGGTACGGGCTAGTTATCTCTAGCAGGCGCGGAAAGCACTTAGCAACTGCATCGCTCCTTTGATGATGCAATAATATTTGCGAATTAAATTTAAAGACAACAGTTGGCGGTGTCGGAACGAATCTAGACCTTAGACTTTTTGCACGCTGGAAGCCAGTTGTCGAAAGTCCGAAGCACTAGACGTCAAACTCGAAACATTTAGATTAAACTACATACGTGATTAAAATATGTTTTAAATCTATATTTAAGACAATATTTGATATAAGCAAAATTCGATCTGAAGTTGGGAATCAGTGGACAGTGTTCATAGTACAGCTAAGTGAAGATGTTTTATCGCAATTGTGGTTTACTATCTTTCGTTAATAAAAAGGTTTGAATACCAGTTATTTGATTGATTGAATGAAATTTGTCCTCCATTAATATCCGAGTAGTAAGGCTAGGTAACTCCTAAATGTAGTAATCCTAAATCCTGGTTGTTCCTTGATGGCTCATGTCGAAACCTTGCTCCCACAGCGACATGGTGACCAGCTATGCAGCATTCGTTTATAAACAAAGCACATGTTTACATTGGGGTCCCTTACTATGATATGCATATAGTTGTAATATATCTGCTTCATTATGAGTGCGCTAAAGGTTATTTTAAGTGTTAAAAAGTTGAAGTAAGTTAACGCATAGCCTGTCCTAGTAAATTCTTACCTAAAGAAGAGAAGGATGTAGGGAGCTCAATATGATAACGTGACATCATGAAGCCACCGAATACGCATGTTATTATGAGAAAGTCTGTAAGCTATTAGAAAAGCAAAAGGAGTCTGGTAAAGCACTTCAGGTGAACCGAGGCAGTATTTATTT